TATCCATCTTCATGATGGTGTTCATGAGTAGCTCGCTTTGAAGATGTTGGCCTCTTGTGAATTTGCTCAACCCGGTCTTGAGATGTTCTTTTTCTAGCTTGAGTTTCTTGTTCTCTTCTTTGAGCTCATCATGATTCTTCTCCTCCTTGAATCTCTTGTTTTTTTCTTTAAGCTTCTCATTCTCAAGAGCTAGATCACTATCATGGTCAAGGTTCTCTATCATGATGGTGTTGGTGGTTGATAGCTTCTCAAGATCTTTCTTTAGCTTCTCATTCTCATCATTGATCTTGACATACTCATTATAGTCATCGAACTCAACCACTTGCTTGCCTTTGCTACTAGAACCTTGCTCAATGCTCTCAATAATCAAATCATCACATGATGTAGCTATATCAATCTTAACAACATCGTTAGTAGCATCATGTGGCTTATTGGATAAAAACTCATGAGAGATAACAAGATTATCATGATTAACCTTGAGGTTGGTATACTCTTCTTTTAGCATGTTGTATCTAGTGATGAGCTCATTATGTATCTCCTCAAGTTTATCATGTTTTTCTTAAAGCTCTTTCTTAGAGGATTTGAGCTCCTTGAGTTTGGATGACATAGCATCATTTGCTTCTTTAAGCTCAACACTAGCCATTTCCGCTATGTCACATTTAGCTAGAAGAGAGTCATTTTTAAGTTCAAGCTTTTTATTCTTAGCTCTAGTCTTTCTAATGATCTTAGTGTATTGATTTAGCAATTTAATAAGATCATCATATGAAGGTGACTCAAATTCATCATCATCACTATCACTATCATCATTGCTAGCTATTCATCACCACTACTATCATCATCATTTGATACCTTTCGTTCACCCTTGGCCATAAGGCATAGGTGTGTAGAGGATGATGGCGGTGGTGTCGGTAAAGATGATGAAGAGTCAATCACAATGGCGGCCACCTTCTCGTTGTCACTATCATCATCGGATGAGCAACTTGATGAATTAGTGTCCATGAGCCAATCACCGACGATGTATGCCTTGCCATTTTTCTTCTTCTTGTGGAAGTCATTCTTCTTGCCATCCTTCTTCTTGTATGGCTTGTTTTTCTTCTTCTCATCTTCATCACTTGAGTCATCTTTCTTGCCCTTGTTCTTCTTCTTGTATTTATCTTTCTTAGGCTTGGGGCATTGATATGCTAGATGACCAAGTTCTCCACAATTATAGCAATCCATCTCGGAGATTGGCTTCCTTCTAGTGCTAGTGAAGAACTTCTTTTTCTTGCCATCAAACTTGACGCTGTTCTTGTTGAGCTTCTTTAGCATCTTGGCGGTTCTTCTCACCATGAGAGCAAGACTTGCATCATCAATTTCTTCACCACTTGAGCTCTCATACTCAATTCTTGCTTTGCCCTTCTCTTGGCTAGCCTTGAATGCCAAGTCCTTGTCTTTCTTCTTGTTAGAATATGAGCCATCTTGTGGTGTGATGTGCATGTACATCTCATGAGCGTTGATCTTTCCTAAGATTTGAGTTGGTGTAGCGGTGGAAAGATCGCCTTGATGAAGCACGGTCATAATATGCCCATATTTGTCAATGAGGAGGACACTCAAAATCTTCCTTACAACATTGGATGGTTGTATTTGCGTAAGTCCAAGCCCATTGATTTTCTCTACAAGAACAGTTAAGCGTGAGTACATTTCATTTGCACTTTCTTTAGGAAGCATCTCAAAAGAATTAAGCTTTTTCATGACGAGATGATAGCGTTCCTCACGCTCACTCTTTGTTCCCTCATGGAGCGCACAAATGTCCGACCATAGTGCATGGGTGTCCTTGTGGTTCCTCACCCGGTTAAACACATCTTTGCAAAGACCTTTAAAGATGGTGTTTCTAGCCTTTGCATTCCTTTTTTCATAATTCACTTCATCGCCTTGAAGGTGCGTGGGATCCCTAGGTTTTGGGAAACCTTGAGAGGCGGCTCTAAGAATTCCAATATCTAGAGCTTCTAAATATGCCTCCATACGGATTTTCCAAAAAGGAAAATCATCTCCCTCAAAGATAGGAGGAGGTCCATCCCCGTGAGACATCTTTCTCTAGGCGGTTAAGCCTAAAAACACGAGCACGAGGCTCCGATACCAATTGAAAGGATAAAGACGCCCAAGAGGGGGGTGAATTGGGCTAATTCTAAAATTCTTTGCAATAAATAAACCCTATACTTAGCCCACTTCACCCCTTTGCCTAGAAAGTGATTCTATTGATCTACCGCACAAAAGTTTAGCACCCTAAGTTCCAATCCTACTCTAGCATGTCAATTCTAAGAATGTAAAGACATGAATTGAATTGCTCAAATGTAAATGCTTAAAGTAAAGAGAGGAGAAGGAACGTGGTGATGTTTTGCCGAGGTATCGGAGAGTTGCCACTCCCCACTAGTCCTCGTTGGAGCACCCGCGCAAGGGTGTAGCTCTCCCTTGATCCGCGCAAGGATCAAGTGCTCTCTACGGGTTGATTCTTCGACACTTCATCGCGGTGAATCACCCACAACCGCTCACAACTTGAGTTGGGTCATCCACAAGCTCCTTCGGATGATCACCAAACTCCCAATCACCATCAAGTCGTCTAGGTGATGGCGATCACCAAGAGTAATAAGCAAGAACTCTCACTTGACCACAATAAGCCTAATGAGAAAGGTGGATGCACACTTGCTACTCTCTTTTACTAATGAGGCCTTAATCTTGGATTCTCAAATGTAAATCACCTCACTAGGCTCTTGCTCTCCTAAGCACTCTCAAGGGTGTTTCTCAGCTGTTGAAATGGGCAAGAGTACTCCCTTGAATGAATAGAGGAAGTATTTATACCCCCCTCATTCAAAACGAACCGTTATGTGCCTGAGTCAGCACTCTGCGGGGTGACCAGATGCTCCGGTCGGTTCTCCCCGCCACAGAGCCGTTAAGTTGTGATCGGACTCTGACCTGCGTCCGGTCAGCACTGACTAGACGCATTCGGTCGCGAAAACTGCTATCTGGAACCTTACTGATGTTGACCGGACTCTAGCACTCAGCGTCCGGTCACTTTGCTGCTCAGCGTCCGGTCAGTAACCGGAACCTGACCAGCATCCGGTCAGCACTGACCGAACGCGTCCGATCAGGATTCTTCCTCTCTAGAACCTTACTGGAGTTAACCGGACTCTGGCACCCAGCGTCCGGTCACTTTTTACTCAGCGTCCGGTCGCATCCAGACGACTTCACTTGATCAAATGAACTGACCGAACTCTACTGCCAGCGTCCGGTCATACCGGAACCAACGTCCGGTCAGCATTTGACCCTCCATTCACTTCCAACTCAAAATCATATGTGAATGAAGTTTGCTCCAAATGATCTTAGGGCTATTTAGGAGGTACCTAATGCTAGATTTGACAAGTGTGTACCACACCTAACCCACTAGACTCACTTAGGTCAAGCTACTAGTCCATACCCCCCTTAATAGTACGGCCAAAGGAAAAACAAAGTCCTAAACTACTCTAAGTGTCTCTTCAACACCAAATGACACTTAGAACTCCATCCTTAACCTTGTCGTCCATCCTTTGAAAACCGAAACGATTTCCATCGTAGGGGCATGACAACCATGATTGTCCAATCAATTGCCATGACCATGACCTAACTTTATTGCCTCTGCAAAACACACGTTAGTCATAGTAATCACGTATTGTCATTAATCACCGAAACCCAACTAGGGGCCTAGATGCTTTCAAGGGTACAGGGTCTGATCAAGACTGCTCCGCTTCATGTTTTTTAGCCAAATAGGTACAACTCCATAAACATCGCTCCAAGAAAAAAAAAGGTAGAGTTACGAGAACACCAAAAAAATGCTTGAGAAATTCTAGTTTTTCATGGAGCCGTTCCACCGTGGAGCGTGGAGCAGTCCCAAACAGGGCCGTACTACTATTCTTACTTTGTTTGTAAGATTATTGTTTTGATGAGTATGTTGTTCTGCATATATGCTACTATTGCGAGTAGTATACGTAGTAAATCACACACACATATATGGTCACAAATTTACTATTGTTTTTCTGAATTAAATTAAATCCTAAATATCTAACATGACATTCATCGCTCTTATGTCAGTAGTCATTCTACTTATCATATGGATCTAAAATTAAAAAAAATAAGTTGATTACTTGTGGACATCTAGAACCTGCTTGACAACCTTCATAGGAATTAAATTATCTGTTTTACACACTTGTTTAACTTCTAACATTTACATAAAATTGAGCTTTAGGAATTTGCCAAGCTCTTAGGTCAATTTCAGTAAAGAAGGCAAACCGGTGCATCATCCTCCATGACAACTGCATGGCCCGATTTAACTGCTGGAGCACACCGAATCATAGAGGAGAGATATAGAAATCAGTGCATATTCTTGCATCGATTCGTTTCATGGACACCATTCGGCCATAAACAAATGAATGAACTTGTCAGTTGCCCTGTTGCTGCACCATGCGTTGTGGCTAAGGTCTTGTTTAGTTCAAATTTTTTTTTCCAAAAGCGCTACAGTAGCCATCACATCGAATCTTGCGATACGTGCATGAAGCATTAAATGTAGATGAAAAAAAACTAATTGCACAGTTTGGTTGAAAATTGCGAGACGAACGTTTTGAGCCTAATTAGTTCATGATTAAACACTAATTGACAAATAAAAACGAAAATGCTACAGTAGCCCAATTTCTAAAATTTGGCCAGCTAAACCAGGCCTAACAAGTGTGGGCCTGCCCCTGCTATAGACAAAGAGGACAGAAAGTGAAGCTCATGGGTCAATCCTGTGCTCAACTGGAATAAGGCCCAACGCAACTAAAAGCTTTGTTGGCCTTTTCCAAACACATGAGCATGGAGTAATTTTTTCCTGTTTCCTACTATGATCCAGAAACTGAAATGGTAACAAACGACAAGAATAAGAGCGCAAGATGCATATACGAGACAAAAGAACTGGAATACCATGCCGCGTCAGAGGTAAAATGTACATGCTCAGATCATGGATTTATGGTGCCGGTTCTTCGCTTAGTTGCCAGGCTCAGGCATTCTGTGGCGGTAAACCAAACAAACCAGAAGAATGCAACCCAACCTGAAACGCATATGAAGCACAGTTAAGACGGTGTCAATTACAGATTTACAGTAACAGGTACAGGCAGATTTGAGACTTTTCAGCGACTGAAGATTGCAACTTGCAAGCAGCAGCAACAGCAGTACTATCAGAGCTGCACTATTTAAATCTCTCGCTGTAGCTGCCGTTATAGCTCGCTATAGCCTTTTAAGGCAGGGTGCCGCTATTTGTGTTCATGTACAATTTAGCCGTTATATCCCGCTATAGCCCGGTTTAGCTCTGCTATTAGCTGATTTAGAGGTATATCGCTAAACAACTTAGCCCGCTATTTAAAACTATGGCACTAACTACAGGCATAATAACTGAAGATTGCATTGCCAAAGATGGCGAATAACGTTAGTAACACTATACCAGTGGCGATCGTGATGGCAACGACTGTTGCGATCGTCGTGACCGAGATAACAAACACGGCAACGGACAGTGCGCCGATGTATATCGCGGCCAGGAAAGCCAGCAGCACGGCCAGGAACACCCCGGCGGCGACCATGGACACGACGACGGAAACGGCGATGGCGTTCGTCGCCGCCGCCACCACGAAGAAGACGACGATCAGGAGGCCGGTTAGCACCACGAGCGCCACGGATCCAACCTGCAAGTTACGGATCACAAGGTATATAGAACCGCAGAATGCAAGATGCGAACCAAAGACCATGGCGTACGTGGCATTCGTGTCCAGCTGGTCCCAGCGACTCACCAACACGACGAGGAGAGAACGGGGCGCGCCGCCCCGCCTGGTCCACGCTACGAGGTCCCGCGCCGCGTTCTCGCAGGCCTCGCGCAGCCTTGGTGCGGCGGCGCGCGCGGTCGCCCACGCCCAGAACCGCCGCCGCGGTACCGGCTGGGCGACGTCGGCGGCGGCTGGTGGCGCGAGCGCTCCGTGCCCGCCGAGCTGGTCCTGGAACGCGTCGTCCTCGGCGCTGGACAGTGAGGAGAAGGTAGAGGAAGCCACGGCGCCGGCGTCGGCGGGTTCGTCCAGCTCCTTGGCGCGGGGGAGGCGCAGTGATCGAGTCAAGCGCGCGTTTGTGAATGTCAGATGGGAGGATGCGTGTCCCAGACTCGAACCAGTGGACATGTTAGCGAGATGCCGAGATGGAGCTGATCCAACGGCCGCGGTCCGCTGTTTCGATGCTCGTGCTGACCTGGCTTTGCATTACATTTACCATAATGATAGCACGCGGGCGTACGTCCCGTCCGGACGCCGCGTGCCTGGGCCTGCGGACAAGCCAAATAGACCTCCCGCGTCCGTCGTGCCGCCCGCCCCGTTGCACCTGCCGCTGCTCCGCGTGCCCGCCCCGCTACTCCTGCTCCGCACGACTGTCTCGCTGCTCCTATCGCTGCTCTGCCGCTCACCCCGCTGCTCCTGCTCTGCCACCCACCCGGTCCGATGACGCCAACAGGCGCCGCCAATGCAAGGAGAAGCGCTGGGCCCTGGCGCGGAAGCCCTCCGGCCTCGCCTGCTGCTACAGCTGCGACGCCCCGATGCAGACGGCGGAGGAGGCCGCACCGTGATATGATGCATGTTGCAAGCTCACATTCAAATGTTTCAGATATTTTAGAGGTATGTTGTAAGCATTTCATACAGATGTTGTAAAAGTAGATCGGGATGTTACATATGTTGCAATGGATGTACACGTATGTTGCAAGAGTCTGTCTTCAATGTTTCATCTGTTTTTTAGACGTATGTTGCAAGCGTGTTTATTTGGATGTTGCATATGTTTTCACACATATGTTGCAATTGTTTTATCTGGATGTTGCGTATGTTTGCAATGGTTTTCAAGTGTTTTTCAAATATTTTTGCAAGTGTTTCAGACATATGTTTTAATTGTTTCATCTATCTTTTTTGTACATTGCATCTGAATGTTTCAAAAGTAGATGTGTGTTGCACATGGGATGTGCGTGGGAAACAGGGAGGAGGCGCAAGCGGTCCCCGCATGGCCGCACGAGATGCAGACATGAGCAAGCAACGTCCGGCTAGCACGGGCCCATAGTAGACGCGTGGAAACTATATGCAGCTACGGGCATCCAAACACGAGGCAGCTAGCAGTGCCGTTACATTTACGCTATATATATTCTTTCCTCCATGAGTGGAACGAGTAAAGACTAGGGCTCCGTTTAGTAGGGCTTCTCTTCGGCTTTAGCATCAACTCCTCCGAAGGAACCTACCAAACGGTTTAGTAGGAGGAGCTGGCTCCGGGTTCTTCGGAGGAGGCCTACCAAACAAGGCCAGGTCTGGAGTTTAGACGGCTTCGGCTTTGGCTACTATGTGAAAATTAAAAAAAGTTCAACAAGAAAATACAAAAAATAAATAAAAGAAAAGAGTCACATAGCAAAAGAAATTAAATAAAATATGAAAGAAAGAACAAAAATAAAAATAAAAATAAAAATAAAATGATGATTAAAAGTAAATAAGTAAAAGGAAACATAAATAAAATGAATTTCCAAAACAACTATGTTTATATTACAAAAAAAAGTAATACGAACTCAGTCAACTAAGTTTTGTAGAAAATCAACAAAGCCCAACTTATATAGTACCAAAAAGTTTTTAGGGGGCGTTTCGTTATCTTGCTTATTGCCTCACCTAGGGTAAGGTGAGCCTTGCCAGCATGGTAGAGCTATTTTGGCTCACCTAGCCGAGCAAGTAAAATTCTTGACAACACAGAAATCAAGACAACAGGTAAGCCAGCCAAACATCAGATTTCTTACCTAGCCGGGCAAATCAAGCAATCCCAAACACACCCCAAAATGCCTCTTGAAACAAGTTTTGTAGTTATCTTATGCAAATATAAATACATCCTATCCTAAAAGAGTTCGTTAGCTAATAAAGTCTACTTGTATGTGGAACAAATTGATGGGATGAGTGTGAAAAAGGAGAATGGAAAAAAGAAAAAAGAAAAGGAAAGAAGGAAATGCGTGGCCGCGTGCGTGAAGTATGGCCACACGTGAAACGAAGCTGAATAAGCTTGTCGTCAGAAACCGGCCCAGGCCCAGCCATTTGCACGTACGTTGCCCTACGTACGTCGGTGTCACCGCCCATGCCAGCCCCTCCGTCCCACGGCCTACTGGGCCGCGGGCGGACATAAACGGACCGCCGCTTTCCTCGGCCCAGAGAACGAGGGAGAAAGGCAGAAGTCAGAAAAGCGGCCGGTGGTCAAAGGCGCTGAAGCTGAGCTGCCAATCATCGCTCGGTTTCCGTTCCGTTGGACACCTGCAGTAGGACGTACGACTTCCCCTGTCCAGTCCGGTCATCGCTGGGTATAACACGTAAGAGCAAGTATTATAAGCGACGAAGAGCTAGCGAAATCCGACGGAGAGAGAAAGCAGGAGAGAGAAGAAAGCGGACGACTCGCGAGACGCCGACAAAAAGCGGGCGAAATGCACTGTGGCTATCGCTCCCCCACTCCAGTTCTTCCACGTCGCAGCGAAGATTAAAGATCGATAGGGTCCGCCACCACTGCTCGACAGCTCAGATGACCTGGAGCTTTTTGCAGCCGCCGACGGGGCGTATCCATTAGCCTGGCTCTAACCCAGGTGTGCTACAGTGTACAGTAGCCGTCACGAGTAGAGTAGAAGTACTCCTAGCCCTAGGCGAGTAGCTCGCGCAATTACTACAACCCTACGTACCCAACGCACCGTACCCGCGTTGGACTTCGGGGCGCGCGTTCGCTTCCTTCCTTGCTCGTCGTCCCTCCCTGTCCCTGTTGTTTAGCCTGAGCCCCTGACTACTGCATGCGGCAGGGCCAGGGCTTGCTCTTCCTGACGATGGTACTACGATCGATCATCGTCGATTGATTCGACTCGCACGAGCAATGCATGGCGACAGACAGGGGCCGGGAACAGTTCCGACGTGGTCCCCGTGTCTTAATGCACAACTAATCTATGACCGTGTTTGGACCTATTTGCCATGTCCTTCTCCTGTCCTTCTCTCGAGGGTTGTTTTGTAATTTGGTTGCTTTTTTAATATATATATTTGAGTTGTTGTAAAAAAAAACTAATCTATATCTATCGTTTGCAAAAAATAAAAATAAAAAAATCTGTGTCTATAGCTATATATTCTTTGAATAAATCAATTCATAAAAATATATTAACTTTTTTATGTTTGGCCAAATTTATAGAAAAGAGTATAAATATTTATGACACCAAAACAAGCATATATTATACAAATATATTTTATGATGTATCTACCGATATTAGTTTGGTGTCATAAATCTTTGACCTCTTTTCTCTAAATTCAATCAAACTTAACAATATTTGACATAGAGTATGTGTCTAGATAAGCTAAAACATTTTATAATTTGGAACCAAGAGAATGATACATAGGTTAATGCGATGTTACGCCTGTCGTACTAGTCTACTAAACCTGATGTAACATTGTACTCGATCGTACTCCCTTCGTCCCAAAAAGAATGTAATTCTAGCACAAATGTTATTGTTTTAGTATCTTAAGTTTGATCAATTATAGGTAACAAAGTATCAATATTTACGATATCACATAAATACCATTAGATTATTTACGAAATGTATTTTTATAATAAATTGATTTGGAGCCATAAATATAAATATCATTCACTAAAAACTCACGTAACCTATAGTTACTTTTTTTTAGAGGGAGTAACTCGTTGGCATCAACCTTTTTAGTTTCCCATGGTACACCTTGTGTATTTAATAAGCAGCAGTGGCATTTGTCGGGCTCTTGAGTACATCACGTATACGATGATTGACTGTAGCTTACCGACTGTTGATGGCCCACATTATATACAGTAGTTGGGAAACACGTGGGTGGTTCCATGCATAAATCTGTGGTTGAGATTTCTACTACACAAAGCTGATCAAAGGATGATGTCGTTCGAACGTACATTGATGCTAATTTTATTTGCGTCGTGATTCACTACACCATGACCTACTTTTCCCTTCACTTATGTGTTAGTAAATATAGGGTTTTAACAACACATTTTGTGTTGGCAATTGTGTCATCTTTTAGCATCACATAAACTGTCGCCAGTACCATAAGGCTACACCTTATGTGTCGGCGTTTCTCCTCCCAACGAAAAAAGTGTCGGCAAAAGTTTGTAGATAAAAAAACTGTTGTTGTAGCCTTATGTATCCACTGTCAAAGTGTCATCAAAGGGGTAGGCGCAGATGCCAAATGCCTGCGCGGGAGAATGAAGGGGAAAAAAGGGTCACGCGCCAAAATAGAAGACGGGATGGGAGCGAAATATTGAGCCCATTAAAACAGAGAAGTCTCCAGCCCAGTCCACCCACCCATCCACCCACACACTCACGCCACCCAAAAGCCGCCGCTCCAACCCCACCCTTGTACGCACGCCGCCCAAGCCGCCGCTCCAACCCACGCTGTCGAAGGCCACGAAGCCAGCGCCACTGAGCCCCCCGCCTGTGGTAGAACCGCCTGAAATAACACGCTTTCTGATGCGCTCGTCTTCCACTAGACACTAAGCACCCCAAAAGTTAGCTGCATCGGACAGTTTCGTCAAGCACACCCTACGGGAAAACTCGAATCAATCCACGTTTTACCTCCAGAATCTAATAATGAGTACGAGCTTACAATACTTAGTCCATTTTATACAACAAGAGTTCTTAGAAATTATTTATTACAATATCAGAGTTCAGAGTGCGATAATTAAATAGCGGAATTAAAATGAATATCTAGCAGAACCGATATAAGGATCCGTCTGTGCCTACCAGAAGAATCCTCCACACAAGAGCTACTCCTCAAGCTGCACCTGCAACAGGGGTAAAATAAACCCTGAGTACACAATGTACTCGCAAGACTTACCCGACTAGAGAGAATAGTTTCCCGACTACAAGGGGTATGATAGGCAATATGGGTTTATTGTTTTCTTTTTTGTTTGCGAAAAGCATTATTAGAAGTACGTCCTTAAGATCAAGTTTAATTACCAGTCATGATTACTTCATTAGCTAACCATTCTAGGTATGCACATGTACTACCTTCAAGCAAGGGTTGAGCAATGAGAACTATTTTACCATCTTTCATATTCTAGTTCTTACTATGGTGCTAGACCATAGCCAAGTCATACCGTCTCACGGAAATAGCGA